GAATGTCATATTGACCATTTTTTTTTCTCAACATGGGAATATAAATCTGACCATTGTACTCCACACTCAGTAAGGTATTAACGACTATGATAGTTTATAGAAAATACAGAGCAAAATCTCCTTTGATTAAAAAAACATGACCTAATCTCCAAATTCACCTTCTAGAAAACTTTAAAAAAAAATTCTCCTTCAAATTTCAGCAACGCCGCCTTACTTCAACCTAATTTTTTTCCAAAATAAACACAAATCGATCCATTGCGACACAAAATCAGGGCAACAACTATCGATACCTTGAGCGAGACGACGTCGCGGATCACGAGGCGGTAGTCGACGGCGACGGCCAGGAACCTGGAGTCCGGCGAGAAGCAGCAGGGCCCAGTTTGCTTGTACGCGTCAGTGAACTCCATCGGCCACCAGAATTTGCCTCCAATTTGGAGGAGGAGAGATCTTGGAGCGGATCGTGGGGAGGGAAAGAAAACCCTAGCTATGGAAATGGGGGAGCTAGGGCAGAGATCGAGGCGCCGATGGCCATGGGGTCGTTTTGAATCGGCGAGTGGGGAATCGTCGAGGGTCACTCCGCTCAGTGGAAGTACGTTGAATCGATAATTAGACTATCTCCAGCATGAGTCGAAATTTTAACCTTCTCTCTCATGCCACATCACTTTATTCCCCCTCCACATAATTCAACAATCTTCATTTTCTATCATCTCTATAGCAGGAGTTTTTTCAAAAGATTTTTACTTTATTTGGGACTCACTACTACCCCATCCCTCCAACATATATACCACACCTTATTTATTCATTTCTTTATCTTATTTCATATATATTACTACTACTACTATTATTATTACTAATATAACTCATTTATTTATAATTATAAATTTTTAATATTTACATAAATAATATATATTATTAATTTAAGTTTTGATAATATTTTTATATTAACAAAAAAACACACGATTTTATTAAGCATACGAAAAAGTCAAACACACACAAATTATTGAAAACGATTTTATTAAGAATAATTTTGTGAATGATCCATTTGAAAAAGTTTGAAGAATATAGAAGCAAAAGCAAAGAGAAGGAGAATAAGGTGTTGAAAACTCAGATTTTTTTTGGTGTCCAAATTACACAAGACTAATCTCTATTTATAGAGGTGAAAAAATAAAAATTATTGATATAAAAATTATAAATTAATTCCTAGTATTTATCTCCCAAAATATCATTTAAAAATTAAGAATAAAACAAAAAAGGCCAACCAACCAAGCCTTGACACATGGCTCCAAGCATGGGCTAAGGACAATTCGCGGGACCCATGAGGTTAGAAAAACCGGAGGTGAAAAATTCACCCATCCGATTTCGGTTTTCCAATTCACCCCTCCAAAAACCCCCTGCTGGAGCCAAAACCCCCCCAAAAAAACCCCTCCTGGAGATAGTCTTATAATTAATCAATTACCCGGTTTTGTATTTCAAATTGCTACCTCAAGGCTCAAGCTAGTCTTTAATAATGATGTAATAATGCAGGTGTTTATATTTAGGGAAAATTGCTTGGAGAAACCAAATAAAGTTGGGTTATGCATCCCCACCTAGGGTGTCCCAAAAGCCCGGATCCCGGGCCCGGCCGTCGCCCGGGCCCAGCCCGTGGTGCCCGCCCGGCCCGGGCCCGGAAACCCGGGCAAAACCCGGGCCCGGGCCCGGGCCCGGGTCGCCGTTGGCGAGCCCGGCCCGGGCCCGGTCCGGGCCCGGAACAGTAAAATTTTTTAATTTTTTTAATTTTTTTTTATTTTCTTATATATAAAATATATGTATATGTATATATATTGTGTATATAATATATATATATATATATATATATAGAGAGAGAGAGAGAGAGAAATATGGAGAACCTTGGTACCAAGACCAAGGCAACTTGGTAGTGATGTGGCCTAATCTTGCCCCTACATCACACCTCGAAGATAGAGCCTCAACCACCCTTCACCAACTCCAATATAGATGTATGGACAAGATTAGGCCACATCACTACCAAGTTGTTTGGAGCAACTTGGTACCAAGTTTCTCCATTTCTCTCATATATTATTTACCAATAATTTCGTAAACCAAGTATTCCCTGTGCAACGCATCTGTGGTATGCTAGTTATATATAAAGGAGGATTTGTGTGAAACATCACACATTATATGAATCTCACATGATATTTGTGCCAAATTTGTCAAATATATTCTGTCCAAGAACTAGTGAAGTTATTAGTTTTATGAAGAATGGACTAACAAATTTGAATGGCTTAACAAAATTGTTCAAAATTCTGATATAGCATGTGAGGTGATAGATAGATTTAGATCAATTTACTAACAAAATAGCTGAGATATTAGAGAAAATCAATTATAAAACAAAATGTTTTGAAAACACATATTTCTAGTAACATGCTATATCAGAATTTTTAATTTTTTAATTTTTTAATTTTTTACGCACCCCTTTATACATCCGCAGACAACAGCAGTGAGCCGACGCGGACAGACAATGACCAGTAACATCACGACACGTGGCACGCCACGGTATTCCGGGTCCACCTCGTAGTTCCTCAACTTTCCGCTCCGGATCCGGTCACCGCCTGCGAAAATCGAAGAAAAACCCCAAAACCGAAGGACTCAAAGAAATCAATCGATGGCAGCAGCTAAAATGAAAAACCCTAGTCTCTCTCTTCAGAGATTGCTGAGATCACTCTCTTTCCTCATCCTATTCTCCCCCTCTCTCCAGCGATCGGCGCTGGCCGATGATATCTTCACTTCGACCTCCGGTATGCCCTAGTTCGCCTTCTCTGTTGACTTAATTTCAGCCTGTATTTGTGTAGCTGGTGCAAAAATATTCAATTGGTTGCTTGTTCGGTTGAGACCCCTAAAGATTTTATTTTGATTTGAACCCGATGTTTTTTTAAGGATTCGACTGCAGTGAAACATGGTGGGGATTGTGCCACATCATTTTCAAAGAGAAAATCTCCTCCTATGATAAGTATACACATTATTATCTATATATGAGATTAATGGGTGTCCTATGTTAAGGAGAGGATTTCCTCCTTAAAAATGATGTGACACAATCTTCACCATGTGAATAAAGTATGAGAGAGAATATCACATTGTGAGAATTATGTCACATTATTTTTAAAGATGAAATCTCCTCCTATGATAAGGATACTCATTATTCTCTCTTTATATATAGCCTCTCAACTTTAATTAGTGCTATATTGGATTACTTGTGGAAATCTGTAAGTGACCATTTTTTTTAACAACTTTTCTTTCTATTTTTCTTTTACTTTTTTTTTCACGGGTGCATCCTTCCCTGCACTCTCTCTCCATCACCTTTTCTTTTTTATATTTTTTATTTGGAGAAATTACTTGGAAAAACCAAATAAAGTTGGGCTATGCATCCCCACCCCAAGTCTAAAAACCATAACCAAAAAGCCCTAAAAATAAAAAAGAAGTGCAACCAAACCCCAAAACTCACAGCCCAAGAAAACATTCCCAAATTACCCTTCTTCTTCCCCATTTAAAACCCAATCCCTTTCTCCTCCTAATCTGGCCCAAGGTCTCCCCCCACCGCCTCTCCCTCCCCTACCACCGCCGACGTGCCCAAGGTCCTCCTGATCTGGTCCAAGGTCCTCCTGATCTGGTCTTCTATGGTCCGAGGACCGAGTTGCCGTCGAGGGCAACGCCGGAGTCGTTCACGGTGATCAATTTGCTGGAATTGGATTTCTCAAACAACTCATTGTCGGGTCCGATCCCAGCTGAGCTTGGGAAGCTTACTAACCTCACATCATTGGGCTTGTTCTCCAACAATCTCACAGGCAAAATTCCGCCTGAGATTGGAAACATGACTTCATTGGGCTATCTAGATGTAAACACCAACGACGCGCGTCGTTTCAAGATGGCGCTTGAAGGATGCAGAGCAATCGCTCTGCGGAGCTGCGAGGAATTGGAGTCCGAGTGGCTGATTCTGCTCGAAGAAATCATCAAGAAGCCGATTGTTCCGGTCGGCCTGCTGCCGCCATCGGTGGACGAACGAAACGAGAATGCGAATGAATCTGAAGTTGAAATAATGGAATGGCTCGGCAAGCAGAGGTCGAAGTCTGTGGTTTACGTCGCTCTCGGGACCGAGGTGGCTATTAACACCGAGTCGCTGCACGAGCTGGCGCTAGGACTTGCTTTGTCTGGGGGCTGAGAAAGCCTTTCGGCTTGAGTCGTCCAGATGGTGAGATCCTACCAGAAGGGTTTGAAGATAGGACCAAGGACTTTGGGCTAGTTGTTAAGGGTTGGGCGCCACAAGTGAAGATATTGGCTCATGAGTTGGTCGGAGGATTCTTGACGCATTGCGGGTGGAGTTCGATCATCGAGGGTCTTCAGTCTGGACACCCGCTTGTTCTGTTGCCCATGGATTTGGACCAAGGTTTGAATGCGAGGTTGATGGAGGAGAAAGGATTTGGGGTCGAGGTTGAGAGGAACGAAGAAGATGGATGTTTCAATAAAGAAGATGTGGCCAAGGCCCTTAGGTTGGTGATGGTGGATGAAGAGGGAGAGAGTTACAGGAAGAGAGCTCAGAAGATGATGGAGGTTGTTCGGGACAAGGAACGGCAAGACAAGAACGTGGATGGCTTCATTCAGTTTCTTGCAACTAATCGTAGCTTAGAAGCCTGAGTTGTAGAGAGCCTCCATAACTTATTACCAACCACATCTCTTCACTCAATAAACCCCATGAATGATATTGTTTGTTTTTCACATCCTCCGCCAGAATATTTTTTGTACTTTGGATGTTGTATGTGATATTTGTTATTTATACGTGACATTTGGGTGTTTTATGTGATATTTGGGTGTTGTATGTGATATTTATGTGTTGCTTGTGATATTTGTTATTTATACGAGATATTTGAGTATTGTATGTGATATTTGGCTGTAATTTATGACATTTGGGTGTTGTATATGATTTTTGGGTGCTGTATGTGATATTTATGTGTTACTTGTGATATTTGTTGTTTATACGTGATATTTGGGTGTTGTATGTGATATATGACTAAAGTTTGTGATATTTCGATGTTGCTTGTGATATTTGCTGTTTACACGTGATATTTGGGTATTGTATGTGATTGTTAGATGTAATTTGTGATATTTGGGTGTTGTTTGTGACATTTGCTGTTTATACGTGACATTTGGGCGTTGTATTTTATTTTTGTCTGTAATTTGTGACATTTGGGTGTTGTATATGATATTTGTGACATTTGGGTGTTGTTTAAGGTGAAGGTGAAGGTGAAGAGGAGTGTCAAAGTATTTGAGTTTGAGTTGAAGGTGAAGAGGAGTGTCAGAGTATTTGAGTTTGAGTTGAAGGGGAAGAGGAGTGTCAGAGTATTTGAAGGACGAGTTATTTATTCCTAGGTCTTGGTGGGAAAAGAAGAATAAGGGGATGATGATGAAGGAGGATGTGGAATGACTCTATTAGATCTAAATATCACATACAATAAATTATAGTCATGTGTCACGTATAAACAAATTACAACCATGTGACAAATAAGCACATTCACTATCAACAAATTACAGCCAAATATCACATACAACACCCAAATTTA